TAGGCGTAACAATGCGTAACTATGCGCACTAATAATTCGGCTATTAATATTTAGATGTATCAAAACAACAAGGTGATAAGACAAATCTTTTTTTGTCTTTTTCTTGTCCTTCCTTATATCTTTATATATATTATTAAACACAGAACTTGTAAATATTTGTTTGGCTAATGAAAATGAATTTAAAAAAAATATTTCAAATGAAATATGTTATTCTTAAACAAGTAAAAAAAAAATATTCCAAATATGCAGCACTTCCACTACACTAATAGATTAAAACATAAAAAGTTAATGTGTTATCTTGTAATACGCTATTCCACAGTGTTAGAAAAAAACTTTCATTTTTTTGAAGTCATGATCAGGTTATATTATAAACCAATTGCTAGCTTTTCATGATTTACTTTTTGGATAAAAGTATATATATATATATACTTTTATCCGAAAAGTACATATATATATATATATATATATATATATATATATATATATATATATATATATATATATATATATATATATATATATATATATATATATATATATATATATATATATATATATATATATATATATATATATATATATATATATATATATATATATATATATATATATAGATAGATAGATAGATAGATAGATAGATAGATACTATATTTATATATTGTATTTTAAAATGCAAATTAGTTTTTTTTAATATTATTAGTACAACACACATATATATATTACACACACACACACACATACACACACACGCACACACACACACACACACATACACACACACACATACACACACACGCACACATACACACATATACACACACACACATACACACACACACACATACACACACACACACACACATACACACACACACACACACACACTTTTTGTGCTTAAAAAAAATACCTCGGTTTCGGTATGTTATCGATGGTGTCCTTCAGGTATATTTTTTTTAGGATCAATTTTTGAAATTCTAGTTTATTTTGTGTTACTTTATTTAGATTAGTTGGTAGTTTTTAAAATTTTACAAAATTTGAGGTATAGACTGCATAATAAGTCATCTTGCCCCGTTTTAATTAAAAACTTTTAATTTTAATATTTATTTCAAATTTAATTGCTAACTAATTAAAATGCAGGCAATGAATAATTAAAATAACCTAAGCATGCCGTCAAAGTATTATTGCCTCATCACAGATAGTTTTGCAATAACTCAGGCTTTTTAAAACGTTTGTCATCTTGCGCGATCTTTCCGACCGGGCAAGATGTCAGTTATCTCCATCTTAAAAAAAATGTATATATATATATCCTAGCAAGCAAATCTGCATTGAAATAATGTCAAATAAAAGTTGAAATTTAAAGTTAAAACAAGAATTTTTGGTTAAAAGGAAACCTTAATCAACAATGAAACCTAACTTTAGATCAATGTTAAAATCGCAACTTTAATTAAATGTTGATTTACTGTTTATTTCAAATAGAAAACCAATAATTTGTTAGATAATAAAATAAATAATTAAATACTTTGAACAACAATCACATTCCACTTTAAAAAACGCCTAAAATGAGTGAAAAAATTTTTTTTTTACTGCAAATATATTTTACAACTACAATGTAATAATGTAACAAGTAGCCATTCCAAAATAGCAGATTGATGGTATAGATATATAAAATAATAAATGTCGTTAGCATTAAGTCTAAAATGTACAAGTAAAATCCAAGAAATATTTGTGTATAACTTCTACATAAAGTGTTATAAATATAATAAAATAATACAACCATAGCATAATATAAACACATAAAGCTCCAATGAATATATATCTATATTAATAGAAATATAAATTTACTTTATCCTGTAAATTTTTGAATTTTGTGATATTTCAATAAGAATTAGTTTATCAAATTGTTTGAAATATTTTTTGTTTATAAAATGTTTTTAGAGAAAAAAAGTTACACTGAAATTACATATATATGTAATTTCAGTGTAACTTTTTTTCTCTAAAAACTAAAATATTTGAAACAATATGATAAACTAATTCTTATTAAAACATCACAAAATTCAAATATTTCGTGATACTACACGCCTAGTCTTCTGCAAGCTTTCTATGACTATGTATATTTATACTAGGTACCTTTTTACTAGTCGTGTATTACACATAAACATATTAGTTTGCTTTGTAATTGATGTAAATATCATTTTGATTTTTTTATTTTTTTTTTTATTTTCTAAATGATATTTTTATAAAATGTTTGTTGTAATAAATATAATTCTAAATACTAATACTAAACATAGGTAAAGTCAAAGTTAATCTGAATAAAAGTTTCAAAGAATAACTAGATATATTAAATAACTAATATAATAAATATTTTAATAAATTATTAAATATTTTAAATAACTAGAAAACCAAAAATAAAAATTATATGCTAAATACTTCACTTGACAAATTTTATTCTGCTCCTCTGGTTTTTTTTTTTTTTTTCCTTTTTTTTCCTTTAGTTTTTATATTTCAGAAAACGCGTTGCAAACAGCCTTTATCATATCACTGCTGATTTCTACTTGAATGAGCCATCAATTTGTTAGATATAATTAAATTATTGATAGTTTGACAAAAGATATATTGCTATTTTATCATCTTTTTACTAAGCAAATTACTGCTTATATCGAAGCCTCTTTCAACAGATTCTTGACCGTGAGTTAAAGTCAAAATGAGTGTTAAGACTTTCGACAAAACTTTGTATTCTATATCAATTTCAATGGTTTCAAATTAAAATTGGTCTAAACAATTTTCGAGTGAAACCTTTAAAATGCTTGTAAAAGATTAGATGAACTTTTTCCTAACAACTTTGAGAACGGTGTGAAAGCGAGATCGCATTCATTTGAAGAGATATGCAACCAGGAAAGATTTGGATAAAGCAAAGATTTTATCTGTTAAAATAGATTAGCTTTCTTTTTTAATAAAATTGTGGACTGATGCAATTAGCTGCTTCCAGAAATGAAGCTTGATTTAAATTATTGATTTAATTATTTTTTCAGGAATCTTAATAAAATTTGACAATCTTTAATGAATTAATTTATTCCATTTTAAAATAACACATCTTTTCTCATCAATTCCATAATCTATTGGGCACAGGTACGTTAATTGTATGTTTAAAAGTTATCTTAATATTATTTAAATTATTTTAATTTCAAGATATTTTAAATTTCTTTGTAATAAAATAATATATTATTAAAAACTATATACTTGTAAAAACTAGGGATGTACCGGAATTCCATTTTTCAGACTGGAATTACAATATCTCAGGCCAGAATGCCGGATTTTATTATTATCTTTTTTTTTTATGATTTGTGACACAGACAGTGTAAATTAAATCAAAAAATCATTGTACCACAGGGCAATTAAGAACTATACGTAAACCTACGTAAAAAAAAATACAAAATTCTTAGCAAACATATAAATTTAGGTAAAGCTACAGATAAGTGGTCTAAAATAATTTATTTTTTTCGCTTGCAGAGCTCTCCTCAGTGGAAACTTTTTAAACATTTGGAATTTTAATTGTAATAATGAAAGAAAAAAGATTGCTTCCACATGCCAAACCCTTAGTCAATGTAGCAGCACTTCTTTGTAGCAGTAGATAGTCGATGTAGCAATACTACCTTTTAGCAATAGGCTAAAAGGTAGTTATGTTTATATTAAAAAGTCACCACTTTGAGCAAGTCTACATAAGAAGCGAATAAATCAAAGCAACTAACGAATAAATAAAATTATTTTAGACTGCTCAACTGAAGCTTTGCATAATTTTATTTGCAGTAATCACTTATGTAAGGATATTTAAAAGTTAAGAAATATGGTGGTGCAAATTGAGTTACTATCCAGTTTTTGGCAACAAAAAGCCCTTTTTTCATCAAAAATGTTATCTGTCTCTGAGAAAAGTCTCATTTTTAATATTTCTTAACCTTTATATAGTTAAAAAGTATCCGATGTCTAATACAATAAATATTTCAATTTTAACCTAATTGTAAAAATATAAAACAAAGAAATAATTTTAAATATAAGTATTATGCAGGTTAAAACTGTTAATAAATAAAATTATAAGAAACAAGTAAAAGAAAAACATTAGATTTAAATAAAATAAGAATCAAATTAATAAAATAGGTTATATATATATATATATATATATATATATATATATATATATATATATAACACACACATATTACAGGTTATAAATACATTATGTTGCCACGACGCTGAGGTGCAGACTTCCATTATCAATCTTGAAGGTAAATAATTACTTAAATATAATTCTCGTTCCGGCCGGAAATTCTTTAACAATACCAGCAAATCCGGTTCCAGGCGGATTTCAAAATTTTCAATCCCAGTAAACCCATAATAAAAACTATATGTTTGTAAAAATAATATATATAATGTTTGTATTATAATGTTTTGAAAAATGGTATTTAATTTATTACTTTAAAAAGTTAAAATACGCTTTAACTATGATATAATGGTGATTTTATAAGAGCCGCGTTTTACTAATAATATTAGTAATACTTATAGAGTACTAGAAACCCATGTATTGCTTTAAGGTTTAGATAAAATCTAAAAAATAAGTAATAAATAAGTTTTTTAATAATAATATTTTTAATTTAATAATAAGTTTTTTAATTAACAATATAGATCACAAGCCACCTATAAAGAACAGTCACGATCAGTTATTTTCTTTTTCTGTCATTATTAATCTAAATCCAATTCTAAAAATAAGCCAATTATCAATACTCTTGCAGGGATATTGATCAATTAAATTTCAATATGAAATCAGTCAAATGGTTTTATGTTATACAGTAAGTCAACTGCAGACTCATAATATTTATTTCATGATATGTAAATGAACAAATTAAAAACTCTGTAGTAGTAGTAGTAGTAATTTTTTAAATAAGTTTTTAACTAAGCAGAAAGTTTTTTTTTTTTTTATGGTGATGAAATTTTATTATTTTTTTTAACAGAGGAGCAATTTATCTGCTTGTAAATATAACAACAAATCCAGAATGTTTAAGTTATCTTCAAAATGTAAATATCTATCTGCAACCTGAATCATTACTAATTTTCAAGAGATTTGTTTGGTTTGGTTCAAGTATGAATGTTTCTAATGTTCAAAAAAACGGCAAATCTTTTATCATTAATGTAAATATACTATTTAAACTATTTAGTATATTAAATGCTTTTAATATCTATCATTAACAAAGATGTAAAGAAAATAAAATTATTTTCTTATTTTGTCATCAAGTAATTAAAATGGTAAAGATATCAGTCATAGATTCCTTATTACTATTTTTAGTAAGGTTAGACATTATTTATTTGCAAGTAAAATTATTTTATTGTTATTTGTGCGCATGTATTTATATTAATTATTTTTAACATTTTACATAAAAATCTAGTGTAATTTAATTTTAATTTAAATACTTTAAAAGTCTGAAAGAAAATTTTGACTTGGCTGCCGAAACTTAAATCAATGGAGTACATACATTGATTAACCTTTAATCGATGTATTTATACTCCACTGTACCTATCCTTATTTTAGTCGATTTACATATGCATTAATGCACTTTTTTTCAAAATTTTCTATAAAATTTTGAAAAATAAATTTTAAACTATAAATAAACAACAATTATAATAAAGCATAAAACTATTTCAAAAAAAACACTTTTTAAAAAATAAATTAAAATTAAAAAAGTTCACTACGGATTCAAGACCGCAACTTCTTCACCTTTTATAAGCTTATATTGTTGTAACCAGCTTAGAATACCTTATACTATTATAATAAGCTTATAAAATTATATTATAACCATATATAATAAACATATATTAAAAACCATATAACATAAACCATATATTATAAACCATAATATATATTATAAGCCATATATTATAAACATATAATGAATTTCTCTTCAAGCACATGAAACATTTTAAAAGCAGCCGTGGCACAATGTTTAGAGTTCTGGCTCAGAACCAAATGATCCTAGGTTTGACACCAGCTCTAACCTAACAAGCTATTGGTACAGAAGGAAGCATGATCTTATTGTTAAACTAAAAATAATTTATACAAAATGTATTTATAAAGTAAATTAGCCTAATATCATTCAACATTCAGAAATTTAATTTGTTTCAAATGGGAAACATTTTTTGAAGGAATATTTTTTCCATAAATGACTGTTTTATAATAGTTTTAAAAAAAAAAGTTTAATATAATATTTATTTCCTAATTTTTTATATTTATTTTAACTTTTTTTTTCAACTAAAGTTGGCCACCATTATAGTCAATGAGAAAACATTTAAAATCAAAGAGAAAATCAATTCGTATATGATATTTAACAAAAAGAAAATCTATCTATTACTCGATATCGGACCAAGTCTATGTTTTTTAGTGCAGAAAAACTCAGTGCCTTTCGTTTTTGTCAATTGCTTTAACTTTCTTATTGTTTTGCTTTAAGTTAACGTTTAAAGCTCTTGATGATGTTTCAAAGCAATATCAGCATCTCCTTTGCTGTATTTAGCATTTTGTTGTTAGTAATGATTTTTTATTTTTTATTTCAGTTTGCAGGAAATAAGATTAGTAATAGCATATTAAAAGAGAAAAATGGCATTCTTTTATTATAGAAATAGATAGGAATTTAATAAGGAAGTATCTTACAAGATTAAAACTGAAGGTCTTATAAGTATCTTAGATCAATATTTTATTAATTACTGACAGAAGTCAATAATTAAGGAAGTAAACCCTTATTGGTTACTTGCAACAAATAATCAATTAATAATTTATTCATTATTAACTGACTTAAGTAGCATATTACCAGCATATTTATTCATTATTAACTGACTTAAGTAGCATATTACCTTTCTTAGTTTTTATCAAATAACTTCTTTGTTTTGCAACATAATAAAACCAAAATATTAACATTAAGTTCAGAAATAATTAACTCTATAAAATGGTGCTTTTAAAAATGGTGTTTGAAAAAAACTTTAAATTATTATATTATTTAAAAATTTAGGAGATTTTAAATAGTAAATTTTTCAAATAAATTTTTTAAATTTAAAGGTTTTTTCAAACTCATGCTTGTTTTTGTTTTGATTAATGTGGTCTTTCCAAGTTATATTTAAAAAATTTAAATTTAACTTTGAAAAAACGTAAAATGTTTTTGCAATACTTCTTAAAGAAATAAATATTTTCTTTTTATGTGCGAACTTCTTTTTTTTGATTGCAAACTAATTCTTTATTTAACATTGGAATTTTTGAAAATTTTTAATTATAGACAAAGATTATCTTTTTCCAGATATTTCCAAAATTCCGGATATTTTTCTCAACTCTTAGTTTTTCCAAATATATCACTCATACAAAAATAATGAAAAGTTTGACAAAAAATTAGAAACAATTCAGCTAAAAGCAAAATTAAGTGGAAAATATATTTCGGATTTTTTCCGGGTATTTTACCCAAACAATTTTCCGGATTTTTAAAATATGTTCTCGATAATCTATGACTATAGATTTAAATGTGTAAATGTAGCTATCATATTTTTTGTTTTAATTTATTTAAGAAAAGTGAAGTTTTTTTGTCAGAGTTATCTGTAGGGAAGCGTAACGCATATTGTAAATCAATAGATCGATTCGGAACTCTGTCTCATCGGATTTTTCTCAAGTTTTCGGAGTTTAAGAGAAATCAAGAACCTTCAACGGAACTCCAACAAAGTTTTTGAAAAAAATCTTTTTTTTCTGGTAAAATACTAAAATCTTCTTTTTTTCTATGTTGCTTTTTTACAATATTTATGTTGTTGTTTTGAAAATGAAAGTATTCACTTAAGAAAAAAAAAATTTCAATGACAATGTAATGTTATGTCACAGTTGGCAAAAAATTATATAATATTATAATTTAATTTTAAAACAAGCAAAAATAAAAAAATAAAATATCATAATTTATTTAAAAGGTAAGTGTAATTAAACATTTTAAACAACAATTAAAAAATTAATTCAAAGCTAAGTTATTTAATCTAAATTAATTAAAAACAAATATCTGAAGATTAACAGGTGACGATAGGTGTAGCATTAAAGGTAGAAGATGCTATAATTTAAATGTTCAGCACGACTTCACAAATTGCTTAGGATAGGTATTAGAAACAGTTAAATGAATTTGGCTTAGATAGTGAAGATATTGCAATTAAAACTACAGATGATTGTAGATGAATATTGAAATTGGGCACCATAATTATGTTTCCGCATCAGATCTGCCAGAATTATTTAATTCATTTTACTTTTTTTTTTTTTTAGAAACGCTAAAAAAGATTGTCACAAAATTGTGGGCCGCAAATAAACTGAATTGGATATTTAAGCAGAAATGGAAACGGATGGAGAGACTGAAGGAGAATTGCTCAATAATTATTAGGAGGAAAAGATTGAATATGATAAAAATATCGAAAAAAGTCTAAAAAAAACTTCGAATGCTAATTAAGTTCTTGAAATATCCCTTGTTTGATATGAAGTTCTAAAAGAAATATACATGAAATTTAGAGATCTTCAAATGACAAAGTAATACTGCTCGACAACCACACTTAATGAAAAAGTGTTTTTAAGATAATAAAAGACTTTTGGATGTGCTTTTTTTTTACAAGTAGAAGTAAAAGTCTTTTTTAGATGTAAAAAAAACACCCGAGCAAATAAACTGCCTAAACATCTTGAATGAAATTAACTTAGATTTGTTGAATTACTGTCTGATTTACTGGAAGTCATTTCTGCTGCAGTTCGCTTGGAAAAATAAAATACAACAGTTTTATACAACAATACCATATAACAATATAATACAACAAAAGGAGTGTGACATTGTTGAAGTGGTGAAAATGTCATGTAAATCTTAATGCTATTGTCGTAACTCATTCTGTTATATTTGAAAATGCTATTTAGTCTAATACAAACTAAAAATAAGAATGTCATTGCTACAAAAATCTTTACTTGGTACCATGCTTGTTTTGGCACGACTAAAGGAAATAATCGTGTAAATTAACTATGGAATGATGGCTACATATAAACCGAAATTTAATGCCCTTTGCTATTCTAAGTAAATGAAGAATATTTGTACATTGTTAATATTACAAAATAAAAAAAAGCCAAACAATAGGTTAGACTCTAGTTTGTCCAAGATTACCAATTGCTATTGGACTAGTTCTACATAGTGACTGTTCTAACTACAATATGAAAAAGCGTCTGCTGGTATTACTTTCTCAAAAACGAATTATTCACCTCATTTCTCTAATTAACAAGAACAGCTCAACAGTATAGCATTTAATTTAGTCTTCATAGACCATATATATATATATATATATATATATATATATATATATATATATATATATATATATATATATATATATATATATAACATATGATACTCATAAGAGATATTTGAATTGTTGATTTTTAACCAAAAAATGTTTGTTATTAAAATGTAATGAGTAAGAAAAAAAAAAAAAAAATTTCTCAAATTTTTATTAAAAAGAGTACTTAAGAGTAAAGTATCTACTGCTCAAAAAAAAAAACACTGGAATAAAAAAATTACCAGCGTAAATAATTTGTTTTGTTAAAACATATTTAATTAGTAATAGTACAGGTAAAAGTTTTACTAATTTGCTTTCCTTCCTTCTCCGCCGCAAAAGATCTTGCTTTCACAAAACAAACAAACTGCTAGTTTATTGTCTTTCCTACAACTTTCATAATATTTCTAAATAGGTGATGTTTTAATTAAAGATGACATTTTTAAAGCTTTTCGCAAACAAAAGTTTGAAATTTCACAACTGTTTCTTTTTGTAGTTTTTTGTTTTGCAAACTGACAATCAAATACGAAGTCATTTATGTTCTATAAACTGAGCATTTGATATTAATAGCTTTTAAAGGATAAGTACCTGTTAATATATTTATAAGGTTTTTAATCAGAATAATTGAGCTCTGCAATTTAAAATAAATTATTGAATGTTAATAAATATATTGCATTTAGTAAGTTTAATTAATTGATTTACAAATTCTAGTGACAACTTATGGTATAAATGCATTAACAATTAATTTAAACCGCAATCAACGCAATTGCCTAGTAAATGTTTTAAAGCATTCACCATAAAATTACTCTTATTGTATATATATATTGTACATAACAGGTCATAGAAATACAACTTATAAGAAATAAAGTTAAATGTATTATATAGTCAAGAAATAACATGCCCAAATACATAAATAAAACAAACACGCATAAGTATCCATAGCCTGGTTGCTGTATTCACTTTACCAATGCATGTTGAAAACTGGTACGGTATTTACTTTACTAATGCAGGTTGAATCTTTGAAACCGTGAAATGTTGTATGCGTTACCAGAAGTAAAGATTTTTTTGTGATCCTCAGAATAATTACAATATAAAAATTTATTATAGAATTTTTTTGATAAAGATAATGATGATGACAATGATGATGATTATGATGATAATGACGATGATAAGAATATAAGTTTTATCTTATATATAACTTTTTTCACAATAATTTTATTTACAAGTTTGCCTACCATATATCACATTTTTCACCCCAACCAGACAACCAAACTCGTTTTTTCCATTTCTTCCTGTAAAGTTATAAAGTTATTTGCTGTCAAGATTTTCTTAGCAATTTTTCTCAAACAATCATCAAGACCACTTCCTCCAATTAGAAACAAAAAAATAACCTATAAAGAAATAAACATTTATCATTAGCTATATCATATGAAAATAAGTTTACTAAATGATTAACGTTATTATATATGATGTCAATTCTCAATAGAAAAAATATACTAATTTGAGTTCTTATTTAAAAAAAAAAAGTAAATTTTTATATTCTTTATATTATATAATAAAATATATATCTTGCTGCATTCGATCGACATACTGTATCTCTTGTTAAAATCCTAATTAATTCTAAGAGTTCGTCTATTTCTTTTAATGGAAGTATAAAGTTTCCTGGAAGATTTCCACTTGAATTATAACCAAGAGACACTTGCTTTTGGTGCTGCACATGTAACTTTGACTTGATTTCCTCTAACCGTTTAATCACACTGTGAAAATACGGTCTAACAAAATCAGTCAGAGCTTGTTTTAATAAATCAGGAACTATTTAAAAACAATAAGTTATATTTATAGGAAATGTTCAGGAATATAGAGTCCCTAAAATGACTCTCGGAATTTTGGAAGTCACAAAATCCTTATTTTTGCATAATTTCTAGTGTTAGGGTTTTAAAAAAGTTGAGAGACTGTATAAGAATAAAATTAAAGTTGAGAACTATATAAGAATAAAATTACAGAAGATTTTTAGTTGTAAAACCTGCTATATTTCTTCCTGAATTATGTGAAGCAAGAAGTAATACAGTTGAAAATTGGGTTCAATATTTTCATCTTACAATTTCTTGTTTACAACTTTCATGTTCTCAATTACATCTTAAGTTTCTTAATTGCAACTTTGCTGTTTTCAATTTCATCTTGCTCTTCTTATTTACAAGCCACACATATGTAGAACCATAGAAGTTAAGCTGCAAAATAAAAAATAAAAAAGCCCCTCAAACTTATATGTCACCAGGAACAATAAAAAGTTAGTATTTTATAACTTTCAAAAGCTGTCTATTACAAAAAAAACACCTTTTTGCAAATATAATTAAACAACATATATGCAAAAATATTATTCTAAATACAAAACTTACAAATTGCAGATGTGATGTTTGTGCTAGAACTAGCTGGTGAAGGTTTATCAATTCGATCTGTGGAAGTTGTGGAAGTTGACTGTCTACATGGGAGTGGGGAAAAAGTGGTTCATTATCCAAAGAGTCAGAACTAGAATTCTCTGATCGTTAGTTCTTTTTTTTTCTTTTTCTTGATTGCAATGTCAGGTCATTTCTAAAATTGCAAACAAAACATTAATAAAACTGTAATGTAAATACAATAGTAATGAATACAAAATTTCAACATAAGAATTCTAATTTACATTTAGAATCTTAACATTTTAAAATTATACAATAAAATGATGTACTTTACCATTGTGTTTTCAGTTTTTTTCTCTTTAAATCGTGTTTTATTTCTGAACAACTTGAAATTAAATCAGTGTAGTACAAACATGTCAATTTCATTTTTTCATAGTCTAAGAAAATAAAATTTTCAATATTCTTATAATATAAGAAAAATTATAAAGTTACCAATTCCTAATCACAAAGGCTGGCCTCTTTATCTCTATATAAGTTATATAGAGATAAAGAGGCCAGTCTTTAAGATTAGGAATTGGTAACTTTTTCATTTTTGATCATTGTGTAGTACCAATTCTCTGAGGCCAATAACATGCAGCTGATTCTTGTAATAACCAGCAATCAGGAACCACTGCCACTCCATCCTCAAATTCAACTAAATAATACATTACTATGTGAAATAAAAAAATTGGCATGAAAATCAGTTTGAATAATAAATTTAATCATCATTAATCAGGGCGTCTTTCTAATAATTTATGATTCTTCTAATAATTTCCCTCTCAAGATTTCTCTGATTTTTCCCTGATTTTTCCCTGATTAAATATCAGGTTCACTTTCCTCGCTGCTATCATCTGACAATGACTATACATCAATGGATTCAATTGTATTCTGCTTCATACACATTTCCCAATTATTTATAACAAATACGACATATTTACTATTTTCATTCAACTTTTCTCTATCTATTGAATTTAAATCTAGCATATTTAACTCAGAACCATTATCAGATTTGGAGTTATCAAGAATTGGAGAGAAGTGTTCCAATAAACGTTGATTACAAACAATATGATCATCTTTTTGCCCCACAATGTCATTAGAAGGATAGCAGGCATGAGATATAACACCATCTTTTTTTAAAGCTGTATTATTATTGGAGAAAAGAGATTTTGTATCAATATCGGACATAGTTTTGTTGACAGATTTAATTATTTTTCTTTTCTTTGACCAATAAGACGGCACAGTATTCATGAAGTGTTGAAATCCTTTATTATATATATATTATATATATATATATATATATATATATATATATATATATATATATATATATATATATATATATATATATATATATATATATATATATATATATATATATATATATATATATATATATATATATATATATATATGTATATATATAATATATATATGTATATTTATTTACATTTTAGCTTTCATAAGTTATAAAAACTTTATGAAAGCTAAAATGTAAATAAACTAAAACTATGAAGGAAAAATATGTGTATATTACATATATATGCATACTTTGAAATTGAATGACCTAAAAATTTAATACAGTTCTACAATAATAATAACTTATTTATAATAATATTGGTCCAAAATGATTGTGTTAATTGGAAATGCGCACCATATTAAAAAATCCAACTTTATCCCAGCTATTGGTTTAAATAAATAAATTTATTAGCCAATCATGACCCAATACATTCCCAAATAAGTCGGCTAGAAGTTAGGCTTCTATATCAGCTTCAAATGCAAGCCGACAAACGCAAAGCCTCAGCAAATAAGGCAAAATGATGGCATACAATGGCCCGTTATGTTTATTCAAAATAAATTATTTGCCCAATAAAGGGCCATCCTACGGTGTTTACTGGGAAGTTATATTGGCACCTGCACAATAAATATCTGATCCCAAAAAAAATTAACCTAATTCATCCCTCTAATATTATGTAAAATAATTTTTTAGGTTGGAAGTCTCACTAAAAACCTATATGCAACCTTTTCAATTATTTTTTCTTATGAAAGTGTACCTAAGAAAAAAAGCAACGTTTCGATCATTGCTGGTTATAGCTGGAACTATTTTTGTGAAGATCCTGGCGTGAAATACAAAAATCAAACAATAATGATATTACTCAATAGACCAATACCACCAGGTGAAAGATTGTTACTGAAACTATATGTTGAAAAACATAATTTTATAACTGTTTTTTAAAGCTTTTTACATAAATTGATATTTTTTGTGTTTTTAATATTATTTGCCACCCTCTTTTAACCTTTAACTTTAAAACGCAAACATTTAAAATCAAGACTGGAGCTTGAATAAACAGATTGACCACAATACTTGCAGGGTATAGGTAAGGTTTTATTCTGAAGATTTTGGTTGTGATACAACTTTTTTACAGCTATTTTAATCACAACAACAGTATTCACATCACGAACTTATACCACAAATAACATAATCGAAAATATAATTTGTTGTCGAAATTGTCAAAAATATATTAGATTTGCTCACAGAAAAGTTGTAAACCTATTGTCCATAATTAAAAAGTTTATTTCTTAAAACAAAAAATATATTTCTTGTTTTAAAAAGTAACTTGTAATGCACTCATGGTGTAGTAGTTAGAGTTCTGTAAACAAATAAATAAACTGCAAGGTGTTTATTAAATTGAGTTAAATCCTGTTTATTTTTATTTCTTGGTCTTAATAACTATCAAATTTTTATCTAGGTCGGACAGAGTTTTACACTTTTTGTAATTACTAAAATATCATAACCATTTAAAAATGTTACATATGAAGCAATACAGCTAGATTGTATAGTGTTTATAATTGATAGTGGCCTGTTTTGCTTTTAATTTTTTATACAAAAAAATATTCTTTATTTAAATTTACGTATTCTAAAATACTTTTAATAATAGCAGAAGAAAACCATTACAGTGTGTTATAAATGGTTTTAGTATAAGCTATATAGTTTGTAGTTTTAATCAACTTTACATTAGATGTAAATAATGATATTAAGCTTTAAACATTAAAACATAATGCTTTATTTTTGGACAAGTGATTTTTTAAGTTATTGTGATTTTTTTTTAATAGTGAATAAGATACATCCAACATGGAACTACGAACAACCAGATATTTATACATCATTGATGTATGAAACTCGACAATTTGTATGTCAGATCATTCAAAAGAGGTAGAATATTTGTTGTAACCTACAAATAAAGCAACACGGTGTTAACATTTTAACATAATTATATATTTATTGGTTTGTTTTTTGTTTTTGTTTTTAAATGTTTTGAAAAAAAATTAAAGAATCGTTGTTTTAACAAATTTTTTATTAAATATTTAAATTTTTACTTATTATTAAAATTACATAGACATAATATTAAAAAGACAAAAGCTAAATATAATGAATATATTTGTTTTAAAAAAATGTAAAAATAATTAACAGTTTTATCAAATTAAATTATGTAATAGGTTTATAAAAGTTTAAATCAACTTAAAATTTGTTTTAGACAATCTAGCCCTTGTTATCAGCGTGAAATATCATCTGGAGTTATTAACTGTAAGTTTTTTTGAAAATAATATACTAAAGAATGGCAAACGGTTAATTAAAATAACATACAAAACGGAAAATAATATACTAAAGTATCGCTTTGACTAAAGAAAGTTAAATTTTTATTTATTTAGTTCTTCCAATTCAAGTAATAGAAGTAATTGGTTACGATCCAAACACCACACTAATTTATGGACTTACAACTAGAAATAATTTAATTGAGGTTGACATCAGTACAAGAAAACCTTTTGTTATAACAAAAGAAAGATGTTTGAATGTACCTCTTTGTGAGAAGTTTTTAAGTAGAAAGTGATCTTTTATTTTAAGTGTTTTTAATATATCTTTTTACACCTTTTTTTATTCTATTTGTATTTAACTTGCAAAAAAGTTTAAATTTTTTTAATTTTACAATAATATTCCACAATACTGTTTAAAGCACATAAAGATGTAAATAATTTATAAAAGATGTGAATTTATAAAAGATGTATTGTAACGTGTCTTAAAAAAAATTATTTTTAAAAAAATAAAAAACAAAAATGTTTATTTTATATAGAGTAAAACCATTTCTTAGCACTGAATTTTTTAAATAATTTTATTTATTCATAGTTCTTTTACTTATAGTAAAAATTCTTTACTAAGAAAAAACGCATTTCAAATATCAAATAAAATTAATTAACAGAAAATAAAGAACTAAATTAAAAGGATCCAGAATTATCGGATAAGCCTCCTCGTAGGCTTTGTTTTTGTCAAAATAACGTTTTTTTAGGCCCTTTCTCTCTTTCTATTTAAAGCATCCGATTTTTGTTTATGGTGAATCAAAGCTCTGTAATAGTAAATTTTTAAGGCTTTTTTTTTTGTAAGACTTTTATGTTAATTTTTTTTTTTTTTTTTTTTTTTTTTTTTTTGTATGACTTCTATGTTGAATATTTTAAGCAATTTAAAACATTTATAGGATCAATAATACCATCATTCAAACTTATGGCAGGACACACACCTGTCAATACCTTTTTGTATGCAATATGTGGATTCAACACAGCGTACAGATGTAATTCCATTTAAAAACAATCAGTGAGGCTATTTACTTTAGTTTAATATAAGCATTATTATTAAAACTTGTTTTTAATAGTGTCATTTCTAAAATAATAATACCGTCATTAAAAATTGATGAATATTTTATAAAGATAAATCTTTTCAGGGTGTAATGCCATGTTAGGCCTTTATGGACAACCCAATATGCATCAATACAAAGTAAACAATTTGATTGGAAGAAAAATATTTTATTTATCGCAATAAAAAATTTTTTATTTAATCGCATAATCATAAAAACTGGCACTCGGTGTAGTTGAAACAATTTACAAATTATTCAAATTCTTTTATTTGGAATCAGCATGATTTTATCGGCGTATTATGTCCAAACAAGAGCTTTGGATAGTATAATTTTTGTTTTGCTTCAGGTTTTATAATATTGAAAGAAACTTTTCTTTTTATATATAGTTTTCAAAACCTTATTACTACCCCTAATAGAGAATCTAAATAACACCATTTTGGAGTCTTTAGATCACTTTCGCTCATCGGCTTCAACGCGAATTCAGTTTTTTTATGATTATGCGATTAACTTTTTCATATTATTTAACTTTTTCAAATTACTTTTAATTATTTAAATCTACAATTTTAAAAACTCATTTGCGATAACTAATTTAACACCAACTCAAATAAAACAAGTCGATGACGCAATTTAAATACTTCTTGAAACCAGGGAATATCTTTTTCCGGATATTTCCGGAATTCCGGATATTTTTTCCAAAATATAGTTTTTCCGGATATCCAAAATGTTTTCTCATACATTCAAGTTTATATAATATTTGTTTTAATGTATATACATTTTTCGTTTTCAGTGATCAGCCATAAAAAAAAATGTCAAAAATGTCTATAAAAATTCTGAAACCTACCAGCTGAGAGCAAAATTAGGAGATTAGTAAGGAAAAATATGTTCCGGATTTTTCCGGATATTTTACATAAACTGTATTTTCCGGATTTTTAAAAAACGACCTGGATGATCACTGCTTGAAACTGAATCTGCAAAATGGCTGGCTAAAATATCCAAACTAGAGCAAATCATAAGGCAACAGCAACTGGAGTTAGATCAAATTGTCCAAAAATCTAATAAACAAACTATTACAATAACCAGAAATTTTAAATCCAGTTGGGTTACAGTTGCAAACAAAAACAAAAAAAAAACCTTGAACAGCTAACAGTTATCAATGCATTTTTAATTGAACAACAACAAGCAAAAAGAAACAAGAAAAAAATGTAAATATTTATGGAATCAAAGAGACTACTAAGTTGACAGATGTAGAAAAGCAAGTCGACGATACGGAAACGGTTCAGAACAAATTATCTACATTCGCATCTGATGCAAAACCAAAGTTTGCATTAAATCTATGTCCTCTAAACCAGGACCAATTATCGTCGAACTATTAGATGTTTCTAAAAGTAACCCATTAATTACTTCTGCGAAAAAAATTAAAAAATACAGATGATTACAAAAATTTCTTTATAAGCCCAGATCTGATCAGTTAAGAATGATGTGTAATGAACTAAAACATTTTAAATATTATTAAAAAAGTAATATAAAACTAAAAACATTGCCTTTTAGATACGGAATAAAAAGTAGCGGAATTGTTGAGCTCAAACATCTCCAAAACACTGCCTAAGAATCACTACCCTCCCTCTATTCTCCTTACAACGAAAATAAAATACAAGTGTAAAGACGTACATAACCTGAAACTTAATGTTTCAGGTTATTTACGTTTTTAATAAATACATTAATGAAACATCTCTTGATAATAAAATGAACTAACATCGATGGGTTTAATTTATGTTGAAAAAATTAGTGTGACGGACGTCGAGGTGGCGGTTTAGCTATCTACATTACTGACTTGTTTAACTCTCACAAAGTTCATCATTTCTATACAAACCCACTTGAGCAAGTTTACGTATCAGTAAACGTTAATAGTAAACGCATATTTATTGGGTGTATATATAGACCAAATGATGATAATCTAATAGACTATGTCGCTGAATCTTTCAAATTAGCTAATAGCTTCATAAGGAAGCCCTACGATGACTGTGTGATTGTTGGTTATTTTAATTTCCCGAATATGAAGTGGTCTGGTAATGGTATTAGTTCTTTCAATCCAAACAATTCTGACAACTGTGAATTTTGGAACATTTACCAAAACAGCTGCTTCACACAACACATCACAGTCCCTTTTTTCCACACAACCTATGGTTACCCAAAAAATAATTTTGGACTTATTATTTTCCTACAAATATAGTTCTATTTCAAATTTTCGTCCTAATGCTATTCTAGGTCATAACACTAAGGGTCACTTTAGTATTGCTTGGAGAATCTTAGTTTGAGAACCGCAATCAAAAAACGTATCTAAATTGTTTAGTTAAAACAAAGGTGATTTCTATTCAATATCAAACTTTATTGCATCAATCGATTGGAATATTTTATTCTACACAAAACTGCGGATGTTCAATATATATATTTCTTATTATCGTACTACTTGCAAATTTTTTATCCCCAAGATTAAAAGAACAAAACTATGATCCTCGGGTTACTCCACATATTAAAGGCCTAATCCAAGCAAAAAATCGCCTTGGTATATCAACTGCTTAAGTAAATGGAAGAATAAAGATCTCATAACAAATTACAATCGTCTTAATCGTTCCGTTGAAGCTGAAATATTTAAAGCAAAAATATTGCAAGAAAAAAAAAAAAATCTCAGAACAACCCAAATCTCGTCTACAAATACATTAACAACCAACTAAAAATTAAAGATAAAATTCGCCCTCTCAAAAATGCAGGAGAAATTACTAAAACTCTTCCCGATATACTTGAACTTAAGAACTCTCAATTCAAATCTATGTTTACTCTTAAAAGCTCCGAAATTTTTCCATTGTTAAATAAAAGTAAAGTTAAACCTAAATGCAATTATAATAACAACTTGGATATTTCTTTTTTTTTTTTTTTCACAAATTTTGGCAATAAAAAAAAATTTACAGTCGTAACTTAAAAAAATATTTACATGACCGGGGCTAGAAGAAGACAAATTTAGTCTTATCATTAAGCCCCAAAAAACGCGTCATTGCTAGACAAAATATAGTTTAACAATAAAATATAGTTTCAATGTATATATCTCTGATTTATATTATAAAAGAAAACGTAAATATATCGCATATCGTTTAAAATTTATTGTTTTTTAAATAATAAGATTTAAAAATTGTTTTGTAAAATAAAAGAAACAAAGTTTAATAAAAATATTAAAATGACAAAAATAACATTTAAGAATCCCAAGCAGCAAACAATATTGGCGCGATATTGTCTACAATATTGGCGCAATATTGTAAACTATATCGCGCCAATATTGTAATGTCAACATTTTGACAATATTGGCCAATATTAGCGGTACAATATTGCGCCAATATTGTTACAACTTCATTATCTATAATGAGATATTCAAATATGACTCGGAGAAAAAGCAATTTGTTACAAATAGATGCAATCTCTGAGGTCAACCTGTTTTGGTGATCAAGACTTATTGTCATAAATGTTTTATAAAGTGATAAAAACACTAGGAAGAATACCACACAAAATTTTATACAGGTTTATGAGCTTCTCATACCCCTACCAATAATTACACAATATATTGTGTAAAAAAACTGATACTATAGTATCAGATTATTCATTCACTAGCATAGGTTGTCTTTACAACAGCAAAAAAATCGGGGTGAATGCAATCTCAAGTATCTAATGTGAGGCTTCCTATGATTAGTAGGCTTATTGCTCTACTAAATGAGTTAACTGGGCATAAATGGTTAAAACCACAACACAATTTAATAAATATACTGTATATAAAGCATTCTTTTCCGTACCTTAATTAAAATCAAATGTATAGTATATTTTATACTATACATTTATTTTTATCTTTGTTCCGTAATTTTTCATCCAGGTCCAGAAGTTCTTTTTCCTATTTAACAGGCAAATAATTCCATTTAACTGATGGGGATGGTCCTGCTATGCTCTGATTGCTAACAGAAGGAAACACTAAACCTTTTTCTAAATTGATTAGGCAAGTGTTTAACTTTTTCAAATCATATTGAATACTGACAAGCAACTCTAAACTTTTCTTCTCAAATGCTGCAATAAAAAAATAATTCTGACTTTAATAAACGCCAATTAAATAGATTAGCTTTTTATTAAAGTTAACACAAAAAACTAAGAAAAAAATAGTATAATTACATTCAAAAATATATTAAAGAGTACATTTAATGAAACCTTCAAACAAATAACCCATCAAGGTAATCCTTTACCAGGAAATCGGGTGCCTAAAGCAGCCACAACAGCTGCCAAGCTCTGATCAGAAGAGGAAAATATCAGTAGAGAACGATTCGAACTAAATGGCTCAATATATCGAACAGTTGTGGGTTGTAAAATATTTTGGCAATTAAAAGATTTCTTCAATCTTGGGGAAACTGATGGATATGTCTCCTCAGTGTCACTTGTATTACAAACTGCTAACTTTTTAGCTAGTGGCATGGACAATTTTTCATCGCTATCAGCAGCTGTTTCAACGCTTGATGTGAACTCTAACATTTTCATTTGTTCTACAGCAGTTTCATAACTGTCTAAAAAATTTAAAGAAAAGATAAATATAGCTGTTCAGATCATTAGCATCTAGCATGAGTGTAACATAAAATTAAGCAAGGAATAAAAACATAATAACGACACTTACCAGAATAATAAAGAACTCTTATTTTTAGCTGTTTCCAGTTTTTTTTTTTTTTCATCAAGAAATTCAACTACGGCAAAATTTTTTAAACTTTGCTTCCATCTTCATTTTTACTGTACAACATGTGTATAAAAAAAAACATAAACAAATTTGAAAAATTAACAAGCATAAAAAAAAAAAAAAGTTTTTAGTTTAGTGGTTCCACACTTGTGTGTAGTGAGTGACTGGGGCCCCAGCCCCAGCCAAATTTGGGTCTTTTTACAACCCCAGCCACAGCTAAATAATAGTTTTAGCAGGAGTTATAAGATGAGGCTAGGAATTTTTTTTTATGCTATTTTATTTTTTAAGCTATAAAAGTTAAATAATATCTATAAAAAAATCTATAAAAAGCTATAAAAAAAGTTAAAAAAAAGCTATAAAAGTTAAATAATATCTATAAAAATATCTATAAAAAGCTATAAAAGTTAAATAATCTGTTATGAAAGGTAAAAAATATAGGAAAATCACAAATATATATAGATTCAGGATTCCATACATTGTAATAGTTAAAATTAGGTGGTACAAAGTCTTCAGGAGCCCTACATAAATATGTAGTATATGAAAGTGCTTTTAAATTGTATTTTAAAAAAAGAAGTGTTTCAAATTTTTAGTCTAATACGTTCTTTTGTTTTTAGTCTAATACGTTCTTGTTGTATTGATTTCAAAACTTTAAACTCACATTCACTTGTAGTTGGGCTTGGAAGTGAATTTATATTTTTTTATATTTATATTTAATTATAAATATAAAATAATATAAAATTTAATAATAAATAACTTTTTAGAAAGAATTTAAAATCAAAAGTTGTTTATTTAAAATAAACATAACTATTCTAATATAAAAAAGAATAGCCTTGATAAAACTATTACAGTTTTAAATTTTGTTATAACTTTTGTATTACTTTTACATGATTATTTAATATTATCATTTTTATTACTATTATTATTACTATTTTATATTATTATTGTTATTATTATTTCAATCAGCCAAATAATCATAAGAATTTTTATATAAACATATTATGATTAATGACTCATCACTGAAGTTTATTGCAGTTTCGCAGTTAGTAATTCATTTGTATTTTTAGCATCACTTATTGAGTGAATTTCATTTAAATGTTGCTTCACTAATCTTTTAATATAATGTGATTTAGCAGATCAAGTTGAAGTTATTGATTTTTTCATTACCAATAACATTGTATTACACTTATACATTATATATATATATATATATATATATATATATATATATATATATATATATATATATATATATATATATATATATATATATATATATATATATATATATATATATATATATATATATATATATATATATATATATATATATATATATATATATATATATATATATTATTACAAAGATCAGAATATCATATACGGTATCATACCATTTACTTATTTTTTTACATGATATTTTGGCTTATATAGTGAGAGACATTATCAAACTAATAAAACCGTTTAAAAAGTTTTGACTGGTTTTATTAGTTTGATAATGGCTCACACTTAATGAGCCAAAATATCACGTAAAAAAAGAGATAAATATTATGATACTGTATATGATGTTTTAATGGTTATAATACTATTATACATACTAATAAAGATGTCACTTAAATTATATATATATATATATATATATATATATATATATATATATATATATATATATATATATATATATATATATATATATATATATATATATATATATATATATATATATATATATATATATATATATATATATATATATATATATACACCACAAGGCTGAGATTATTAGGTGTCAAGTAGGTGTCAGCATTTTTACAGTATGTTATAATATTGTAATTAAAACAGTTAGAAAGTAAATAAAAAAGATAAAAAAAAGAAAGAAAGAAAAAATAGATAAACCTAAATCTAGATTTAATAACTTATTTAAAATTTATTCATTAGCAAACTTATTAAATGGTAAATCATGTGACGTATTTGTTACTTAATTGAATATCTTTAACAAAACAAATATATATACAAATCTTGCAGATGCAATTAACTCAAATTGTTTTTATATAAAAGTAAACCTACTATTTCAACCTTTATCTTATAATACAGAAATATTTTTCCACTTCTTCTCGTGATACAATCTGTTTCTAAATGAACTACAACCACTTGTTCTCGTGATAATCTCTAAATTTTCAATTAAAAGGATTTCTTCACTTTTACTTCTTTTTCTCGTGATACAATCTGTTTTTAAATAAAAAACAACCACTTCTTTTCGTGATTCAATCCGTAAATGTAGTTTTGTCCTTTGATGTTCACAGTACTTCTTTATAAAGGACATCATGAACAAGCGATAATGTTACGCATGCGTACCAATATGTAAAAATGTCAATATTGGCCAATATTTGAGTAATGAAAACAAAATAATATTGGGCCAATATGGGCAAACAGTATTGCATTAATATTCGCATATCAATATTGGCCAATATTGGCATGTCAATATTGCGCCAATATTATATTCCAATATTAGGAAAATAATATTGGCGTAATATTGGTATGATAATATTGGCCAATATTGATATGCCAATATTGGCGCAATATTGTTTGCCAATATTGGCGCAATATTGCATATCTTGGCCAATCTAGGCCAAGATACCCAATATCGCGCCAATATCGCGCCAATATTGTTTGCTACTTGGGATTGGTTTGAAAAATAAGAAGATTTGACTTTATATAAAAAACATTACATTGTTAGAGCAGTTTATAGTTTAACTTATAGTTTAATTTTAAAATAAAAGTCAAAGATTAATAAATAACGCAAAAATAAAAAATAAATTTCTGAAAAAGATTATAATTTAAAATAATAAAAGTATATGTACATATGTTGATTAATTATGTATTAATATTCTAAAGTAATTAATTAATTAACTATTAATTATTGATTTCAAAATTAAAGAAGTTTTATTAGAAAAAATTTAATTCATTTTCACTTAACAAAAGTAATTGCTTAAGTTTTGTTTTGAATTGGTTTAGAGAATAATTAGTTTTCAGTTCATCGTTTAATATTATGTTCCATAACTTTGGTCCTCGATTTTGGAGTTTTGGATTGAATGTAGTTGTATTTTGAAAATCTAGTAGGGTATATGTGATTTATTTTTTCAAAAATTGAATAAAACAAGATTGGTAATACATTTTTATCAAGTTTGAACATGAATAAGAACATGATAGAGATTTGATTTATATACATCTATGATATTGAGTTCATTAAATAGTTTTTGTGTGTGTGAGAAACGATCTACGTTTGAAACTATCCTTATAGCCTGTTTTTGTTTGCTAAGCAATTTTTTTTATTTTCGTCGCGTTAGTGCTACACCAAGCAATGTTGGAATAACTTAAGTAGCAATGAATAAAAGAAAAGTAAATGTTTTTTAAACAAGGTCAATTTAATAATTGCTTAGCTTTGTACATTATACCTAAATTTTTTGATATTTTATCTTCAACTACACTTGTATGTTCCCTCCAGGTTACATTTTTGTCTAGAAACACGTCTAAAAACTTTATTGATTGCTCTCTCTTTATTAATTGATTATCAGTAAAAAGGTCTATTGCAGACATAATTGATGAACTTACCAGTCTGAACTCTTACAAATCATTCAGACCTGACAGCTTGCACCCTTTAAAATTTAAGATATGTGCCAAAAGCTTCGGAATTCCGCTCACAAAATTCCTCAATGAATCTTTTAATTCTGGAATAGTGCCAACTTTTTGAAAATCTGCATATATTGTCTATGTCTGGTCTATAAAAAAAAGGGAGACAAACTACTTCCTGAAATCTATCGACCTATTTTACTAACCTCGGTTGTGTGCTAAATCTTTGAAAAAATCTTAAAGAATAAAATCTTGAAGCATATCAACAACAAAAATCTGCTCTCTACAAATCAACATGGCTTTCATGATAAATCTTGCGCAACTAATCTAAGACTTTTGGTAATATCTGCTTTCTACAAATCAACATGGTTTCCTTCATGATAAATCTTGCGTAACTAATCTAGAGACTTTTGATAATATTTCGTTTTCCTAGAATCGCATCAGTTTATAGATGTAATTTACCTCATCTTTGCTAAAGCTTTTGATTCCGTACCTCACACCAGACTTATGTTAAAATTAAAATCATCCTGAGGAAACAGCAAACTACTAAAATGGAATATTTTCTTTTTAGTAGGTAGACAGCAACGCATTACAATTAACATTACTAGCTGTGTTTGAGTTGATGTTCTAAGCGGTATTCCTCAAGGTTTTGTTTTAGGCTCGCTTCTCTTTATTCTTTTTATGAAACTTTTACTGAAGCTTCTGAAATATTTGCCGACGATACAAATTTTTTTTTTAACTTAATCGCAGGTATAATTTTGTTGATCTGCAAGATTGTCTACGCTTAGTATAGATTGGCAAACATTTGGTTACTTAAATTAAACATTTCAAAATGCTGTGTTATCCATTATGGTAAAACCAATCCTATGTATAGTTACTTTTTGCAAAATAACCAAGGTATAAATGAAAGCCTAAGATATTCTTCTAATGAACACAATTTAGGAGTCATTTTTACATCTAATTTCATGTGGAGCACACATATTCAATCAGTTGTCTCCAAATCTTTACAAATTCTGTGTATGCTCAAAAAGACATTCACCATTTTTGATGAAAAAATTAAATAAAGTGTTTATAAGACCATACCTTGAATATACAATGTCTATTTTGGGCCCCGTATTTAAAAACTGACATAGCTTTGGTTAAATCTTTTCAACGTAAAGCAACAAAATAGGCTTTAAGCTTGAGAATTTTTCAATACTATCAAAAATTAAAAAAACTAAATTTACCGCACTTGAGTTTCGGCCCCTACGATGCAATCTTATTCAAATTTTTAAACTAATACATTGATTTGATACAATTAATAATATATGTCAACCAAAATTTATTAACTCCTTGTCACGTGATAACCATCTTAAAATAAGGTGTGAATATGTTTCAAACTGCCTTCCAAGACACATAAACTATATAATAGATCTGCAAAATTTGGAACGAACTACCCAAGCAAGTAACTTTTTACTTAACTGTACTTTCTTTTAAAATTAGACTAGATCATTGGTTAAAGATAAAATTCGAAACAAATATTTATAAAACTGGTTGCTTCTAGAGGGTGTTTTCTCTGCTCGCTGTCTTTATATATTGCATGTATATTTTGCGGCTACAATAACAATAATAATAATAATAATAATAATAATAAAATCATCTCAAAAATGCAAAATACAAGTCCATATAATTATGGACTTTTATGTAAAGCGTAACAGTTTTCAAATGCTTAAAAAACAATGACTATAATT